GTTTTCTGAAAGTTAGTTTAGTACGGGTATGAAAATAAGTTTAGTAAACTTATTTTTACTTTATTAGCATAAATAAGACTAGGTTTGAAATAAGGTACCAAGGTAGGTAATATTATTGTCGTAGTAACGATAATGATTATAAATAATAAGGTTTTTAAAAAAACTGTGATCACTTACTTCCTCTTTTGGATTGTCCCCCGGAGACGGTATATTTCATGGGTGTTAGTATGAAAATTTAAATTGTTATGAATTATGATATTCGTATTCGAAAAACAAGCTAAATTAGTAAATTAGTACATTGTAGTAACATTTAAATAACCTACCATGACAATAATTATCACCATCAAATGTTTATTGAGTATTTCTTGATGCCTCCAGTGCTCTATTACTAGTAAACACATTTCCCTGGAAAAAAAAAGATTATTAGACTAGTAAAGTAAGAGTTCGTAATCTTGTATAAATATGCTAGCAAACAAAATTTTACAAAATGTAGTCTTACCTGATATTTAAGTTTTTCTAAAATAAAATCTGCCCTTCCCTTCATTTCGTTATATGTAAGTTACCTAAAATTGGAAACACAGCTAGAAATAGCTTATTTTGTAATTGAAATGTACACGAAAATGACACATTTATCTATGTAACAAAACTATTTCATTTCCAGACAGACCCATGGCTAAAATAACCGCCATGTCTATAACCTTATTTAATTACAAGAGGGACATAATCATAAATAATCATCATAAATAAGTTGTTTCATAATCATTAGCTTCGTTAAGACATAGACCGAACGATGATTGCGTCTTTAAAGCTATACAATTTTTTAGTCAAAGAATGACTTAATGACAAATAAGTCCCATCGGCGTGACTTAATTTTACTATAAGCTAAACTCAATACGAAATAGATCTTCACTTTGTTAAAAATAGTACCATCCACATACCCTTATTTTTTGTTTTTTACCGGCTTTATTCGGTTTAGGTCGTCACAATAACGAAGACGTAACACCATTCTCATTACACTCGCAGCACATCACTGGATGCGTCTCTCTCAAACTGAACGGACGACGTAAGGAAATCAAAAAGAGTAAAAGAGACCGAAGTCTAGGTTTTTGCCTTTCTGCGCAAAAGTAGGCCTCTGTTTTATTAACAGTCGACTAAGATAGTCAACCAAAGTCATTTTATGACTAAAAGTCAAAATCTTAAAATTTTGGATTAGGTCACTTTAATTCTAAAGGTGCGACTAGTTGCAGTGCTGCCCAGAGTTTTAAAAGGTCTGAGGGAAATTGTCACTGCATCTGTGACCCTGAGAGACAAGTTGACAAGTCTCAGGTGTCTGTAATTTCACTAGCGCCCTTATCCTTCAAAATCAGAACGCAGTAACATTCACATTGCTTCTCGGCAGCGTCAGATACGGTGGCACTACTTCCCTGGACGAAATTTTTCACAAGTCTCTGAAATATATATACGAGTACAATCTGTCACAAATCAATATCGTTTCGAATGTATTATTTTATTTCTTTAAAGGCAATTTTTCTCGTATTTGTAGAAATATATATAATATGACGAAAACAGAATTATCATCAACTTTAATTAAAATTTAAAATCCTCTAAGCCCACTACTAATTTTGTGTTCTTCTGTTTGTTTATAAGGCCACAATAGTTTATATCACTGTGCATTGAATGCATTATGGACAACTATTTTGGTCTAAGTTATTAAAGACAAATATTGTTCTTTGTAAGATGCATTTCACTTGGCTGTTCCTTATTCCTTATTCCTTAATAATAAAAATAATAATAATAATAACACACACTTAAGGACTAATGTTTTGTCTTTAGCCGCCATTGTTACGTCCGCCATTAAAAAATGCGAAGGCCAACGTAAAATGAAGTTAACATGTAATCCCATGTTACATACTTCACCAAATCCAAACCAGTTAAGCCAACATAAGTTCTATAATTAATTACAATCCGGTATCAAATTAGTTCTGTATCATTCAATTTGCTGGTAGTTTGATTAAATTGCTTAAGCGATCCTTTGGGATTACGTACCTGCGAAATTTTGGGCAACTTATAATCCATGTTTGTTTAATTTTATTGATTTCACAAAAATTTAATTTTGAATTTTCGGGGTTTGTCTTTCATGTGTGAAATTTCTTCACCACTAGCCCATTTACATCCTACAGTTTTACAAGTTTAAGGGAGGACCTCGTCACGCGGGCTTAATGCAGGTTGATATAGAATTTTGTACGTTTGTACAACATAACTCAAGCTAAAAGAATCATGTGTAAGTATTGGGGTGGTGTATTCTGGGAAATGTAAAATATTATATACTAATAAAAAACAAAAACACTTCCGTGTGTTACGCCTCGTAGATGGCGAACTGTGGCGCTAAAAGCGGCAGACGAGTACGATACTTATTTAATTTTTTTCTTTATCATATTATGAACTTTGTTCACACAAATGTTATGAACAGTAAGAGTTTAATATAGTATATTAATAAGTAACTACTATTGTTTGATTTCTACTTTTTTTGGTTTTAATTTTTGTTTTCTATGTAATTTATAATCTACATGGCGAATGCTGACGGTACGATTAAAACAAAGCCGGTATTTGTTACACCGTTCGCAGATTTAGGTTTTTTTTGTACCTATTTCTTAATAAATGAACAAATAGAACAGTAAGGAAAGATGAGCCGATTTCACAGGAAATGTTACAGTTCAAGACATTTCCCTTCTAATAAGTACAAGTTGCACTTTAAATGTACATACCTGATAAAAATTATTTTAAATTTGCGATACATTACCATTGTTCGTAGTCTGACGCAATTAAATGTCTTGCATAAAAAAAAATACAAAGTGCTTTTATTTTTGTTTATTTAGCGAGACGTATACGATTTACTCATATTTGTCATGGCAGATCCGTAATACGAAGTGATCTGCGAGCGGGCTGCACTCGCGTCCATATATATAATTCATAACGTTTCAACGGAAAAGCGGCCCACACGGAATATTAGAGAGCATATCTGTACGACTACTTTACGACGATCTCTGACATATTTTATCCTACCTTTGCTACCATGGAGTTTTCGTTTAAATTTACTATAAAACTGTACCTGACATTCACAACAATTAGAAGACGATAATGGCACATTTCGGTCTATACGAAAAGTTTTAACAATGCCACATACAATAAGACAGTGTAAAATGTAAACCCTAGCGACTTAATCTGGTTATGAAAATCTTTGTATTCTGAGTATATGAAAAATTATAATCAGTAAGATTAGTACAAGCAAAAACACAAAATGTGTGTGTCGTTTACCTGAAAAACTACATTACGCGTATTATATACCATCATGCGTACTTATGATTTTGTAGGACCTCGTCGGTAGAGAAGGGAAAAGATTCAGAAACACTATCCAGACTAGACTTAATAACATTTGGCGAGCATAATCTACTTATCACTGAAAATGCTGCAGTCCATGTCCAAGATTTATCCCTTAAATACTTTTTATAAATTCTCGCCAAGGGGTGTTTTTTATAAATTCTTCTCAAGCGATGCTATTATAAATTCTCTTCAAGTTTAGAGCGTCAACGCAACAGCAGGGACGATTTTTCATCAATCAATAACCCTCACAGATATTGTCAGATATCATCAAATATTAGCCATAGTTAAAACTTTATCCGCTTTCGAATTCAACGCTAACTAAATTGTTTCGGACGTTTCCGATCGGTACAGCGGCGTGTATTTGTATTTATTGGTTTGCGAGGGACCGGTTCCGATGCGATAATCCTTCTGGTGGTCCCTAAGTGATAATTTGTCACATTTTGGCTATATTCAAACGAATGATGGCACAGGCTAGTAAAATTTATACAAATAGTAAAAATTTTAATTCACTCAATAATATTTCGCGAAGCAGTACTGTCCCGCCGCCACATTGGGTTCAGAAAACCAGGATAAACTTTCAAAAAAGCAATATTCCCAAAAAAATTACCTAAAGGCTATCTTTCATACAGCAAGTATAGTTATAATGACACTTGCTGTATGAAATCGTAAAGGTCTAAGGGGCACTACCACTGCGCCTTTCACCCTGCGATATAACTTGACAAAGTCCTATGCCTGTAGTTTTTTAGTTTATGGGAGAAGTGGATATCGAATATTTAAAACAAAGTATGCAGCAAGATGTTGAATAATTTCGCTGTAATCTGTAGCTTTTAATGACAATTCCGGGTATAAAACCCATTAGCTAGGGTATAAAGCTTATTAGCCACAGAAGAGGAGCGGAAAAGAATTTTTTAAGCCACCAATGTATTTTTTTATTTTGAATATCCTAATTGCTTAGCCAAAATAATGAACATGCCACGTTCTTTACTTTGTTTAGCGTAGTAAGTAGCAGGCTTTACTAGTGCATTAATACGTGCATCGCCGTGGTGGATCACAATGACCGGCATCTCATCTACCTATTGGAGTCACCGTGGAGAGTCTAAGTAACCGGCACGACATACCTAATTTTGTGGTGTTCGTCTATGCAGAGGTGGTAAACGCTCCTACGTCTTTACCCATACAACATGACCGGCGCGAAGAAACAAGATATCGGAAAAAAAAAAAAAATTTAAATTGAATATAAAACTCACAAACGCAAGAAAAAAGTGGTTAATGTGAAATGTCAATTTAATTATTTAATTTATACTTTAATATACTTATTAATGTCAGTGTTGGGTAAACATTGATGTGTAAATGTTGGACATGTAAATTTATGTCGGTTTGGTCTAAACGCAACTAAAAAAATCCCATGTGTACGTATTACAAATAAAACCAAAAACAATCATATAAGCCAATGTAGTTTTTTAAATAATTTTGTAAATTTTAGCCGGTGACGAACATGTTAAATTGTAAATTATATAATACGTCGATATTTTTTATATTTTTCTCCTTCACATGTTTATAATACAACTCCATTACATTGCGGTACAAAAACTCAATAAGTGCAATTGTTCCAGGTTGGCGCAACTATGATGTCCTGTCCCTTGCCGCTGCCGCTGTTGCCGGCACTGCATCCACAGCCTGCGTTGGCATCAGATTTTCCTATCCATATTGGAATAAAGGTAATTTTAATGCCAATCTTGCATACGTTTATTCAATTCATTACGTTTTTATCCTGAAACAATGGCTACGATTCATCGCAACACACGCGCTTTGTTTGTTATAAGAAAAAAGCAGTTTTGTAAAATTTTTGTAATAATAATAAGAAAATATTCCACCTCTAAGGGAGGAAAATTAGAGGACGAATCTGGTTTATTGGATGTTTTCCACTTTCCGTAAACCGATTTCAACAAAACTTGGCAAATAGATGTAATTGTACAAACATTTGAAGTCGGTTTTTTTTAAGTTATAATTATGAATTCATAGTACTTCCTTGAAATGTCAGTTCATTTAAATGTAATTATTCATTTATGTTAGTGCGTATTTCATTATATTTAGTCCATTGTCTAGATCCACAATAGGTGTATGAGATGAGAGCTATTTTGTTCAGAATAATTATTTGAATTTTCTAATGAAACCGTTTTTTTTTTAAACTTCGTACCGCTCTGTTTACAATTTATAGAGCAAAGACGTATTTTCCGACGACGGTAAGAAAAAATGTAATTTAATCCCGACGCCCTCTTCGAAGAGTTTCAGGCAACTTAAATTGCAAATATATCAAAGCTAATTAATCAAAGTAAGTGAAAGAATATAAGGTAACTTCGAGAGTCGAGACTTGAATGTTAAGGTAGTGGTACACCGATGATTGACGTGCTCGGAAGTAAAAATTTGAATTTTTTTATTTATCAGATTAAGGAAGATTATGTGCTCCACAGTTCAAAATTTATGTAGCGTCGTGTAATTGCACTAAAGAAATTATTTAAAAATATATTTTATCATCCTTGTGTTTTTAAACAATTCAGCTGCGACATTTATTTTATTATATGTGGCACTTTTTATAAATGGAAATAAACAGTTTTAGTGAACCGTTTGTTTCTTTTTACATTTTAGTTTTGTACTAGTTGTTAATAAAACCTGACCATTGCCGTCGTATGAAATTTTAAATTTGGACTTAGCCATGTCGTAAGGACTTTTTGTTCGTGTTAAAAAATTTAGTACTTTTTCACATGATATGAAAAGTCCATATTAGCGCCCCCATAGGGTCCAAAATAAATTACGCAAACTTAAAACATCTTCATTTATTGTATACCAACACAATGACGCACAGAACTTAATTTCTTATGTATTTAGCTAACTACTACACTACTACACTAAACTATTCCGATTGAAAGGAAATTGAAGATCGCATTGTTAATCATACATATTTGAAATCATAATGTCGGTCATCAGTTCGTTTTACAATTAAAACTGTACCTTAAATTTTCATATATGAGACTAATTTTCGGTAACATATGCTAAAATTATCGAATGATCGAGCACAAAATTATTTTATACGATATATATGTATATATCGTATGATGTATGTACATCAGTTTGAAATATATCTGTAAGGAAGAAGTAATGGACCGTTCATATTTTGGACTTTAAATTATTTTACAAGCGTTGTTTTAGAATGCTAAAAGTCACACAATGGTAAAATACATTACGTCCTACCGTCATTTGCTTTTTATTTAACATATTTTATATGACCTTAAGATTGATTTTAAATACCTAATTAAGAGCCTCATTCTCTTTCAAACGCCTTGTAGTAAAAATTACTACTTGGCGCTTAAGGTTCTTTATAGAGATGAAATGGATACTGATTTGGCCGAATACTATCCAGTATATCCGGATATCCGGCGAGTAAACAGGCCTAGGCCGATTAGTCGGATATCCGACCCACTGCCGTAAACATGTCGCGACTGGCACAGCGCGCATCGCCTTGATTGATCGATTGCACTTTCACATTGACAATTTGATTTGTTGTGGTCACTCGATTTTTATAAAAACGATTAATTTTTTTGATAAACAAATGTATAACAGAAAAATGTTAATAATGAGTAAAAATCGCAAATTTGCCAAGATTTTAATACCAGTGCTATTTGTTTGTTGTGCTGAATGCAAATTTGTCGCGGTGGAGAAAAAAAAGCAGTTATATCATTCTTTGGCTATATTAGACTTTCTAGTTTTTATAGTATAGTATAAGCCTAGCAGTAGTTATTATTTTGTTTTAATTTGATTTCTTAATTTGTTTGTGATTTAACTAATTCTAAGCCTTGATACCAGTATGCCAAATAAAAAAATCTGCTTACACGATTCATTTGAACTACACATTGTATTTGACGAGAGTTCAAATGGATCGTGATCGCGATCCTTTCATTTGATCCTCTGGCAACTAGTACTTAGACTTGACAAGTAGTACTTAAAATTTAACAAAGTTGCAAGATTTTATAGTGAAAAACTATCCTCTGAAGCTGGTCTAATTTATGAAAATAAATAGAACCAACTGTTACTACTTAATGCAGGAAAACTGGTCTTCATCCAACATAATTTGCCTTTATTGAAATTTGAGTACTAAATTTACAGATAATGTTATCTAACTTCATTCGTCAGTTCTTTCAGTTACAAGTAATAAAAAGGTTGTCAACAATCCTGTACTTGCTGTTTATCCTATTAATATTATCGTTAATTAATAAATTATTTTATTTGGCGTACTGACTAGGAATTTCTATCAGTTTTAAACATCCGGTACCGGCCGGATATTGTTCTACTATCCGGTATCCGGCCGGGTATCGTTCTGCTCTCGCCGGAGAGCAGAACAATATCCTAGCTAGGAATTTATATCAGTTTTAAACATCCGGTATCCGGCCTGATATTGTTCTACTATCCGATATACAGCCGGGTAGTAAGAATAGGCCGGATACCGGATAGTTACCGGATATCCGTTTCATCTCTTGTTCGTTACCTTTCAACCACAGATTCACATTAGACATTAGCATTATCATCTCCCGTGAAACACCGAACTCGAAACTTGTCCAAGCTTGGAATTTAGTCAATAGGATTGTAAAGATAATAATTGAATTATTTCAGCTTACCAAGTGCAGAGTATCCTTTAATACACCGCCATTACCGCAGTATCAATACTTAAGACGAACTTTTACCCAATTGCCTTTGCGAATGAAACTGTCTCAATTTATAAGTATTGATTCAGGGATGAGTTTAATTAATTTGCAGCTTTGAACTGTCTGTTTTATTTATTACAAGTGTGATTTCAAAAGTTTGATTTATTCCACCGTGTTTCGTTTTTACATATTTGAAGAATTTCGGAAGATCTGTCATTTAAATTAGTAATTGAAGCATTGGGTGTAACAAGGGCGTATCACTTGAAAGTGAGTTTCGAGAAAATTGAAAATAAAGTTTTATTGTCTTATAAATTTTTAATATATATAATGTGACTCTTATATACATTATTATTTATTTGTCCCATGATTTAGCTAAAAGATTCAAGTGTTATTGTTGTTTTAAAACAATTAGAAACATTTCAAAATATTTTTTTTCCCTTGTAAATTGTAAATTAATGGGGCGTTCGTTTTATTATTGGTTTTTAAGGAAATGATAAGTGAATCAGTTTAAAAGTTACTTTTGAAAAAATTTAAACGTATTTTTAACCATTCATTAAATTCGCTGGATTGAAATAAATCGACAGTATCGCCTTCAGCAGGTCTCACTGATGAGGCCTCCTAGATGTTCCTTGTTGAGGATGAAGTCGCGCGTTTCAGACATTTTTTACATTAAAATAAGTTACTATTTTTTACACTAAACTGTAGGTGGTAACGGGTTCGAAATTCAAACGCACATATATAATCTATGCCACCTTCTAAATGTATGAAAATTACGCCATTTAGAAATGATCGAAATGAGTTTTTAACACAAGATACTAGATAGTGTTTTCAATATTTTGATGCAATAACATCAAAACGGGCTTTGGGTGCCGAACGCCCTCGTTGTTCCTAATGCTTCAATTTATACTTGCTTGACATGTCATGATGTTAATCAGTGTAATGGAGACATTCAAATCTCTTCTTCGAATTTGTATCCGTGTTGCGGAGCGTGGTAAATATATAAACACGAAAAACCTAGAAATACTGATCCAAACTTATAGATATAAAAAAGTCAGAATTAATTGTTGAAATTTTATGTTACATTGTTAAAATTAAATAAATTAATTAAAAGACTTTATTTTCAAATCAAAACATATATCATTTAAAATAAAATATTGCTTAAAACTATCTCAAAATAGAAGTCTCGGCAATTTCCTGGTTTTCGGGCTTCACCTAGTAATTTCTTTTTGGTTAAATATATATAGGACGGGTGCACGCGCTCAGTGTGTTGTCGTCCATATAAATACACGGATTAGACCCGCCGCAGTCCCGACCCGACACGCGCCCGACCCGCACCCGCTCTCTGTGTGTTTCACGCTTAAAAGTTGAGTATAATAACATCCTTCTTAAGTATAACAATAATGTATAAAAGAATATTAATATACTTGATACAAATAAAAGCGAAGTATTTAAGTAAACGTAACAGAAGAATAAGTCAAACGTATCAAAACTATGAGTGGTTACACACGGCGGCTTTTAGCAGCGCTGCAAACGCGCGTTCGTGAAACGCACGATTGCATCGCTACACTTGCGATTTATAGGCGATTGCAACGATGCAAACGCGCGACTGCATGAATACAAACGCGCGATTGCATAGATACAAACGCAAGATTGCATCGCTGCTAAAAGTCCCCGGGTGGCGTTCCACCCACTTGTACGGATACACATGCAACTGAAGGTAGCAAAAGTGGTATATCACAAATATTTATTTATTTACCTAAATGGAAGACTAACTGCTTAAATCTAAATAAAATAATAAGATCAACTGAGACCCAATATCAGATCTTCACAAATGGATGTAAATAGGTCAGTAATATCATGACGTATTTCAAGTGGTAAGAGATGATGCTTCTTACAGAGATTGCAATAAGATAAGATAAATTTATTTCATTATAACTAAATCTAATACGATACACGTAAAACTCATGTAAAAGAAGCTATGTAAATAATACAATAAAAGTAATTAAATATACAATTTTCAT